GGAGGGGGAGGGAAGGGGAAAAACAGAAAAACAGAAAAATTCTGTACTTTTTAAATAAATATTCTATATCGAATTACGTTAAATCTGTATTGCAACGGATAAAAGGGCTTTTAGCTTTGACTTAACGCATAAGTGTTTCACTCCTGAAAGCATCTGATTAAATTAAAGCATATAGATTATAATTAATTTATCGTGACCCATGGATAGATAGATAGATAACGTAGCTACTAATTCAGATTTCAAAGTAATAATTAATTAGTCTCGTTGAGAATCGTTTTACGTTTACGTATTCAATGATAATAGTCAAACAGATATATGTATCTATGTATGCGTATACTTTTAGTCAATTTTTATTTACAGTCAGATCGAAAACATTTAATTTTCCAATTAATTTTTTTCTTTCCTTATTTTTCTACAAAAAAAAAAAAAGAAAAAACAAGTTACATTCTCTTTTTGATACAATTCAATTTGTAACTTTTCTCTCTCATATTTATCAGTAAAAATAAAATATCCGAAAAACGTTTAAATATTATATTTTTATTTGTTATTATATTAATTATATATATATATATTTTTTTTTTGTGTGTGTATTTAAATATGTAATATATAATTTTTAAATGAGTAATTATTATTGCTCAATTAATTTATTTATATATAATAATATAATTTTGTTAATATATTATAAATATCGTAAAATCTATTAAAAAAAAGCAATATGATTAGATATAAATAGATTAAAAATCAAATATAGATCAAACAACGTACGATTTCTAAATGCAAACGTATTATTATCTTTGAATACATACATACAATATATATATACATATATATATACGTACAAAACAAACACATCGTTATCATCGTCGCGTGTTCTTTTCTAATATTGTCTAACCAATCGAAATATTATTTTAATCATATCGTAAGAAAAAAATAAAAAATAAAAAAAGAACGAAATTTACTCTTAAGATACAATATCTTTTTAATTTTTTTTATTTTTAACAAGATTATTTATTCATACTAATCACATACATATATATATACATACATAGTAAAGCAATCAAGTATATTCGTATGTCCAATTGCTTGCAAATTTTCCGATAAAGATAATAATAATACAAGTTATGGTAACTTTTGCAAAAACTTGCCCTTTTCCTTTTACCCCCTTTACCCTTATCTTCCCTCTATATTCCCCCATTCCAATCCCCCTTCCAATCCCATTAACAAACTCTGTCAATGATAGGAAATAGATGTCGTTTAATGCTTTGGAAGCGAATGCGTTTAACTATGGTTATCGCATAATCTGTTGGCCATTTTAGAACCACCTCATTCCAAATAAGGTATACACGTGTGTGTGTGTGTGTGTGTATATTGTGTAGTCTATACTTGTGTATACTTATCATGTGCATACATAAGTATGACAGTTACATAGGAAATACGATCGAACCCCTTATTGTCATATTATACACGTACTGACACACATATATATATGTATAACATATACATACACAAATATAAATACAAATACAAACTCAATCACACTTATGTAACACATGAATATACTTATATATACATACTATATATTTGTAAAGTATATATGTGTAGAGATGTATGTACATATATTGATATATGAGAGTTAAGTACATAATGGAAAATGAAATCGACGGTGAAAGGGATGCGACAACGTGAAAATCGTTTTCCAAGGATTTTGGTTAGGGGAAGGTTAATTCGTTGATCGATTAAACCATCAAATGATTGATTTTACGTATAATGAAGGATTTATTGGACTAGTTATATAGGTATATATATATGTATACTTTCAATGAAGTATTTTCACTTACAATTTGAAACACTTATCTCATCGAAGTATGGGAATATAAAAGTTGACGTTTATAAATGATGATGATGGTTAGTGGTGGTAGTTGGTGGTGGTTGGTGGTGGTTGGTGATGATAGATATATTTTTTTTGTTTATAATGAAAGAGATTTCTTCAAATAAATCAATTTAAAATGATAATGTTAAAAGATAATTGTATTAGTATATTTAATGAATTTTTTATTTAAACAATCATTGTTTGTTATTAAAATTATGATGATAATCGATGTTTATATTCTCAGCACTGATTATTACAGTTCGATGTATCTTTCGAAAATGAGTATACTCAATGTTTCCCCCAAGTAACATATCCAAGTAAATAAAATTATAATATAGCTATATGATTATCAATCTCATGGGAAATACCTTGGACGATCGATATATACCTTGTCCCTTATCTCCCTTATTGCATCGGCATCCATAATATGATATTTAACGTTCTTCCAATCGAATTAATCCATCATTCTTTATTCTTTCTATTAAATATTATATATATGTATATAAATTGTTAATGAAATGTTGTTTATTTAGTTTTCCGATAATATAATAATTATATAATTATTAATTTATAATTATTATATAAATTATAAATTTATTA